TGGTGCAAATCTTGATTTCAGTGGCTTGAAAACCATGCATATGTGTATGCATGTCCAACCTTAACAGTTGGAGGAAGAGAAGGGCTTTCAGTATGACAGTGCCCTATTGGGGGTTGCTTCCTCCCTCTCTCTCTCTGTTTCTTTGTCTCTCTCTTGTAAGTGCACCTGCCCTCTGGGAATTTAAACAAAAAGAGAGTGGTCAACCCATGATCTGGTGAGATAAGAAAGCTGAATCTCACATGCCTTCTACATGGCTCAAGTCCCAGATCCAGTGGCTTGACAGATATGCCAGGCACATGCATGTGAGTCCCCAAAATCTTGAAAGGAGAGAGAAATGGAAGAGAAGTAATCATGCTGTGACCATGCTCACAAAGTATGCTTTCTCCCTCTCCCTCTCTCTGGAGAGCACATGCAATCTCCAGCAAAATTAAAAACTAAAAAGAAAAAAAAAAAAAAGAAAAGAAAAGAAATAAAGAAAAAAAAGAATGAGCTTTTCTTTAAAATAATTTTGAGATCTTCAAAATTAATTCACTATGTTTCAATTGGGCTAAGAAACTGTTTATTTTAAGGCTTTAAGGAGGGGCTAGCAGGTGGCTTAGTGGTTGAGGCTCTGGACTCCCACATGGACAACTGCAGTTGAGTCCTGGACTTGGTGGCTTGAAACTCATATTGGGCATTTGTGCACATGTGCCCAAAATCCTGAGAGGAGAGGGATTGCAGTGTGGTCATCCCACTGAGGCAGAGGTGATTTCTTACTTTTTTTCTCTGTATCTTTCTGGCAAGCCCATGTGCACTATAACAAAAATCTCTCTTAAAAAAAAAAATGTCCTTAAGGAGAAGCAAGTGTGTTGGTATCCCACCCCCCTATACCTTTGCCTTTCAATTCCCCTGGGCTCTGCCATATTCCCCCTCAGGTCACATCCCAAACCTCCAAATGGGATAATGAAACTCAACTTTGTAAAAATACTTAGAATCTTAACTCTATATAAATGTTTTTAAAAGGCATTTACAACCTAAATTTAAATTTTAAATAAGACATTTTATAGAACTCTTTAAAATTTTTCCCATCCCTCAACATTTCATTCCTTGACACAAAATTCTTGAAAAAAATACTATGTTGCTGGTAGTTAATATATACATATATCTATATATATGTGTATATATATATACACATACATATATACATTATATATAGACTTAAAGTTCTTGGAGTATATACATATATACATCATATCTATAAATTTAAAATTTTTCCCATCCCTCAACATTTCATTCCTTGACACAAAATTCTTGAAAAAAATACTATGTTGCTGGTAGTTAATATATACATATATCTATATATATGTGTATATATATATACACATACATATATACATTATATATAGACTTAAAGTTCTTGGAGTATATACATATATACATCATATCTATAAATTTAAAAAACTTGTGCTTCCAGATGTCTACAATGAAATACAATTTTCTAAAACTAAGCTGAAAATGCATAATGCTGAAATTATTTAGTAAAGTCATAATTAAAGTTTTATGCTTTCCTTTTTCTTTTTTTTTTTTTATCGCCATAGGATGTGAGCACTTTCCAGAGAAAGACAAAAAGAGAGAGACAGTGAGAGGCAAAGTGAGAAGTCACCCCCAAAGGGGACGACTATTCTGCAATCCCCTGTCCACCATTCTCCTCCTGGAATTTTGGGCATGTGCATGCACACACCTAGAGTGAGTTTCAAGATGCTGGGTTTCGGACTTGAACCACAGTCAATCATGAGGAGTCCAGCACCTTAACCCCCATGCTGTCTGCTGGCTCCTCACTTTTCTTTTTTTTAGCTGCCAGAGGATACATATACTTTCCCAATGGAATGTGATCATGCTACAATCTCTTTTCCTCCATTTCTCTATCCTATCAGGATTTGGGACATGCATGCTTATGTTCCTGGAATGTTTTGCAAGCTGTAGGGGCCAGGATTTGAACTGTCTGTGTTCTTTGTGGGATCTGGTCATCTACGCACAGGACTTAGTTATTATGCTATGTGGCCAACCTTTTTAGATTATAATTTGCAATTGGGCATACTATCTCTAGCAGAACGTTTCAGTTGAAATGTTCTTTATCATATTTCTAAATTAAAAAAGAAAGCTCTCTCGTCATTCACAGAAATTCAACAGTTGAAGATTGTACCAAATACGTACTGTGAAAACATACAGGGCTATCTTGTTTGGGAACTTAAAAACATAATAAATGCCTTGACTAAACAAAGAGTTCTGAGGCTTGTGCTGGTTGTTTTGGCAAATCTTTGTCACTCTGAACCAGGGTGTGTCCAGACACTTTTGCCAATGAAAGTCAATATTTGACCAGTGTGTTGGCTTACTGCCCCTAATAGAGCATGAATCTCATTTCAGAGGAGGACATTGTTGGAAGAAGAGTTGCTGAAAATACTCCCCGGGGTTCCTTCATTTACTCAGTTTATTCCACTCCTCCAAGTGATCTGTCTGTGCTCACCCCACTACATGCCCTGTATTTACCCTGCATATGTTTTCTAGCCATTGATTTCCAAGCAGGACTACTGATTAAAGCAGCACAGTGGTCCAGTCATAGTAGCATAGAAGCTTTTAGAGCATATTTGTTTTTAGGATAAGAGATCATTACATTCATAAATATACTACTGCAGGAGCTACATGAGAGGCCTGGATTCAATTTCTGGCTGGCCCCAAAAGCTGGGCATAGAGGTATGAGCCTGAAGTCCCAGCTACTCAAGAAGTTGAGCTAAGAGGACAGTGACAGCAAGACCCTGACTAGGAAAAAAAAAAAAAAGGCAGATAGTCTACTTACCCTATCATGTCATTTCTTTGCTGAAACTGAGCACCCTCAACAGCAAAGTCAGGAAAGGAAGTTAATAATTACTCACATCCTGTTGTTAAAAAGCCACACACAGCTCATGGAAATGACAGCGCCCTATCGATCTGTATTACGACACCTGAGTGTGTCATGAGGGAGTCAAGGTGCATCATAAGTTGACCTCTTCAGATTGGTGTGGACAAATAAGATAGAAGATACAGCCTATCTCCCAGTGGTTTTAAGCCAAACTATCCATTTTATTTTATAATCAATTTTGTTTTGTTACTTTTGCTTATTTTCCTGCCATTTCTTACTACTTTTCATGTTGTCTGGATTGAAATAAAGGAGATTAAACACTAAGCTAGCTGGTGCTGCCTTGAGGAAGGAACCTGGGGTGTTGGCCACACGAGCAGGGTTTCTCGAGTTTTGGCAATGCAGACAACTAGCCTGGGTAGGTGACAGTATCTGATTTTCCTCATCAGTCAAATGCGAATAGTATAGCCAGACCCACACACTTGTTTCACAGGGAGATGATAAGAATCAAGGAAGATAATAGACGTGAACGGATTTTGAAGTTAAAAGTGCTGTGGAAATGCAAGTGATGATTATGAGAAAAGAGGCTGCTGTAGGCAGCTCAGATGGAAAACCCGTAGGTTGATAGAGCTGCAAGGAACCTGAGAAATCAATTCCAACCCCTCATTCTGCAGATGGGAAAACTTTGACCCAAATGGTAGTGAAAAGCACAGATAATTCCCATAATTTTAGATAATGATAATAATTAGAGGACTTACTCTAGGCTAGACAGTATGCTAAGTGTTTTACATACATTATCTCATTTAATCTTTCCAACATCTCCATTAAGTAGGTGTGAGGCTCAGGAAACTGACTTGCCCAAGGTCACATACTAGTTACTGGCAGGGCCATGATTCCAAGAGTAGAGTTCGTAGTGTCAAAGCCCATGTTCTCAATCACCTTGTTATGTTGTCTAATGGCCATGAACGATTTTTTCATGAAGGCTTATCAGTATTAAATGAACTTCCTTTTCTCTCTGACAATGATCTGGAAGAAGTTACCCTACCAACGAATAGGAAGTGAGCAGAACTCTAAGTCAATATATAATGGACAGGAGAAAAGAAAGATACCAATTCTTAAGAATTAACCACACAGCCGAGCTGCTGGGCAAGCACTTCGAAGATGCTGCACTCTGCAAACTGGGACCTGGAAGACCTCAGCTTGATCCCTGGTCCAACTTAAAGGGGAGGTGTGGTGGCATGGGCTTGTCATCCCAGTGACCTAGACTGGGCGACAAAACTAGATTCTGTCTAGAGGGAAAAAAAAAAGAAAAAAACAGGAGAAGAGGAATTAATGACACGTCTTGGATCTCCCCTTTTAGTATTCTAAACTTCCATCTTGGTTATCTATAGCAGATGCTATAGTGCATAAGCAACACTAGTTTACTTATTTGTAGTCTGTAGGTTTTTTAACATAAAACCAATCAAATTGAAAACAGGATACTTTCGTGACATAAAAGATTTGTTTTGGGGGTAAGAGATCATTATATTCATAAAATACACTCAGAGACTATGAAGTCCCCAAAATATGTAGAAACAAGAACAAGGTCAATGAATTAAGACCAGAGTTATAAGAACTTTTTAAACACCAGAAATGATTAGAATGGGTTTATAATGATCCTTTTCCTAGGCATTTCCAAAACTTGCTTGTAAATAATAATGCTTTCTTTCTGTTGCTGTTATTGATCTGATGCCTAGTCTATTATCTGAATTGTGGAGAGAAATTGGTGGGGCTTTTTCTAAGTTCTAGACTCTTAAATTTACAACACTTAAAAATGCACGAAACCTGGGACCAGCAGATGGTGTAATGGACTTCCACACAGTTGATTATGGTTCAAGTCCCAGACGCAGTGACTTAAACTCATACTGGGCATGTAGGCGTGTGTGCCCAAGACCCCAAGTCCCCAAGTCAAGAATGGAGGAGAAGGGATCATGGCATGGCCATCTCCTTGGGTGGGGATATCTTGCTTTCTATCTCTCTGTCTCTCTCTATCTCTCTGGCAAGTGCACACCCCCTGTAGCAAAAATCTCTCTTTAAAACATAAATAAATACACAAAACCTAGATTATCCTAACACTCCTACAGCAGAATTAAGTCACTTTGCACTATATTTTAACTCCTGCTTTGTTCTTTTTAAGCAGTGAACAGAAGCCTTTTCTGTTGCCAAAGAATAAGTGTGGAGAAAGAAAGGTGAGTAGAAGGAAGTGAGAAAGTTATAATAGGATATGATACTATACAGAGTAAGAGACTAATTTTTTTTTTTTTTTTGAGGACTTTCTTTTTGCCTTAGAAAGAGAAAGACAGAGAGGTAGAGATAGTGAAAAGGAAAGTGAGAAATCACCCCCAGGGGTGATGGCCAAGCCTCAATCCCTTCTCCAGTCTCCTCTTGGGATCTTGTGCATGCATGCACACACACCTGGCATGAATTTGAAGCTGCCGGGTCTAGGAATCAAGCTGTGGTCGACTATGTGGGAGTCTGGCGACGTAACCATCATGCCATCTGTTGGTCCCCTTGCATTTCTTTTCTCTCTCTCTCTCTCTTTTTTTTTTTTTTTTTGAGAGGTTTTTGCTATAGGATGCGTGCGCTCCCTGGAAAGACAGAGACATGACACAATTCCTTCTCCTCCATTCTCCTCTTGGGATCTTGGGCACACACTCACACACGCCCAGCGTGAGTTCAAGCCACTGGTTCTGGGACTTGAACTGCAGTCGACTATATGGGAGTCCAGCAACATAGCCATTACACTAACTTCTGGTCCCTTGCATTTCTTTTTAACATCAACAATAAATCCAAAACCCAGACACGAAAACTTATGAGAGAGAGAGAGCATTATTTTAGCATTATTTTGCTAAAAAATCTGAACACTATTAGGAATGTTTTTGTTGTTGTTTTGAAATAGTCTCACTTGGCTTAATTTTCAGACATTCGGGTTGTTTACCCCTGTGCATTTTCTGTCCAGATGCATTACACCGATACTTGGCTTGGTTGAGAGAGCACTGTCATTGTTGGCGCAGGAAATCTATTTGAATATTGTAGAAGAGAATTCTCCAAATATATCCTTATCACATCTTTCCAAGAGAATCATTGTGTTATTCCTGGGGAAGGGGAAACTTAAAATACTCAGTAAACCCTTCATGTTCCACCTGAGCCTTTGTAAACAGCCTGCAACTTTGAGACAGTGAAGTAAGCACCCCGTGTTGAATTATAAATTAAAAATAGATGCAGTAGTGAGAAATGTATTTAAGGCCCTGCCTACATTGCAGTAAAAATCGTGTTCACAAAAATTAGAAATGATTCTCGTTAGCATGCTGTTAACACAATTTCTCTGGCCAGGAAAGATAAAAATATAGGAAAATTTGGGGCTCATTATTTTAAAAATAGATTAATTTTCTAAATATTATGGATGTTGATGTGATTAGCATGTATTTACCCTTTCGTCTGTTCTCCAATGACTTTGGTTGAAAAGCTTGTGAAGTAGTAACATTTAAAATGTATGATATTTTAAGAGAACATAGCCTTATGTCAATGTAAGCTCAATGTTCATAATCAGTTTTACATAGAGAGTACTTAAATAAAATTCTAGTAAAATCTTAAGTAGGGGTTTGTTTGAATTATTCCACCATTACCCAGAAAGAATATGGCCTACAGAAAGTGAGAAATGACCCCTCAGGGGGGGTGGCCACATTGCAATCCCTTTTCCTCCATTCTCCTCTCGGGATCTTGGGCACGCACGCACACGCACCCGGCATGAGTTTAAGCCACTGGGTCCAGAACTCGAACTGCGGTCGACTACGTGGGAGTCCAGCGACATAGCCATTATGCCAACTGCTGGTCCCATAAATATATTAAAAAATAAAGAAACTGCTTCTATGAGAACACAAAACAGAAATTATGTATCTTCTAATGTCCTGTTTCATAAGGAGAAAATTGTTCACAAGTAAGGCATTATAATATTTTGCCAATAGATGTCAGAAAAAATACCCTTCACTGGAATATATGAGGTTAATATATAAAATATATGTGAGATTGTGTCATTTTAATTTCCTAAACTTTCAAAAAGGATCTTTTAGTCTTTTATAACTCTAAGACAGTAAAGGCAATACTTTGACAATCAACTAATTAACAATGTAAGGTTTGTCTAGGTTGACAAACCTTGTCTTATAAAATTACCATTTTATATATTCTATTGCATGGTTCTCCAGTAGTCATCTCTAAAGTTGGGAAAGATTCACGATCCTATCATTAAACATCTCTTTTTGTTTTCCACACTGTTTCCTTCTTTTCATTGACATTGTTCTTGCACAAGTTATGGTCTTTTATTTTCTTATCATTCACCTTCCACAGCTCAGTTCATTCCACTTTAGCTGGTGTTTATTATGTACACAATATCCTCTTTAATTCCATCCTTCCCTCAGTTTTACTCCAGTTTTTTCCTTTATTTGCCTCAAGAAATACCTCTCATATTTTTTTCCTTTTTTTGTGTTCTCCTCTTTCTCTCTGCAATCCAAAAGATAAAGAGAATTTATTTTGCTCAAGGGTGATAAACCCCACACTCTTAGAGTGGAAAGAAAAGTCACAGGTTTTAAAGTAAGATTAAATGTAATACAGAACTATTTCATTTGATTTGTAAAACTCTCAAAAGCATCCAGAAGTTCCCATCAGGCATTTTACAAATCTTCATCTAACTCTAAATCTTTTTTTATTAAAACCAGCTTTTCTTCAAATACTAGCATAAGGATTGAGGATCAATAAAAGTCATATTAAATGTTACTTGCTTTCTGTCTTATTTAATTACCATTGTAGACATAATACTTTTTTTCATTGTAAATTAAATAATTTCAGCCACATCATGGTTTAAAAGGCATTTGTGGGCTAGCCATGGCTTTCTATTCATTTGTTTAATGCCTTTTCCCCGTAAGTGTTCAGTGGCCTCCAACCTCACTGCTCTTCCTACTTCTCCCTCTGCCTTCCCTACTGTGTATT